GGGAAAATCGATCGGAAAATCGAAAATAATAAAATCCGACCGCTGATTATTTTTCTACTACGGTGTACGAATCGAAAACCTCTTGGACGTTTTTCGATATTTTGAAAATTTTTCCCAGACCCAAAAGCCATACTCTATGGGGAAAATCGAAAATAATAAAATCCGATCGCTGATTATTTTTCTACTACGGTGTACGAATCGAAAACCTCTTGGACGTTTTTCGATATTTTGAAATTTTTTCTTTCGGAAAATTGAAATTTTATAATTATAAAAGTATGTTTCCGATAGGTTTCGAAAAAACCAAGGGCCTTCACGTCAATCACATTTTTAAAATTTTATTTTGTACTTAGAATAATTTAATCAGGGATATTATTTTATTTTGCACTTAGAAAATGAACGGGTGAAAAAAAAATAGTATAAAATTATTATTGCTGTGGTAACACTGCGGAGTATTGATGTAGTGATAGTACTACGGTAGTGATATGGACTTAGTTATTTTTTCCGGATTTTTTCTCCACACCCAAAAGCCATACTTCAACCCTTTTATTATTATTATTATTATTTTTTCTACAAATATATTTATTTTTTTTTTTCGTTTTTTATTTTTCATTATTTCAACTTAAATGTACAAATATCAATTAATTAACTTGTAGACTCATGGCCTAGTGGACTAAGGCGTTGGATTTAGAGTTTGATAAATTTAAATTTAAGGTAAGTAAGTATGTTAATGCTACATCCAGTGTCATAGTCAACTAGGACATGAGTCTACATTTTTTGTTTTTTTTTTTTTTTTTCATAAACTTAAATTTCGTAATTAAGTGCCTTTGCATTTTGAAGTAATTAGATTTTGTAATAACTGATTGTTGTATATTATAATTGTAGTAAGGAGAAAATAAGCTGGGAACAAATTAGTTGTAAGGGGAGAATAGGCGGTAGGGGAAGGTTATAGGGGAGAGATATGGGTGTTATAATAAATATTGAAGATTTCCGCATAAGATCTCCCTACTTCTGTGTTGTACCTAACTGTCTAATGATATTTTAATTACCTACTTTTATTATATAAACATTAAACACTTACCTAGCTGCAGCTGGTTTTCTTTTAAGTGGTTTGTAGTTCTTCGGGGTCGTGTTCGACAGTCGGTATCACGATGACAATATATGTATATTATTTTATGTGATCTGTAGGATTTCGTATACAATTTCTACCTGTGACTGTCACCATATGCTCTCAAAATCCGTACATTCGTAACAGGAGTACGTATAGTCTCCCCGCCGACCGAATGTAATTTAAAGTGATGAATATTTGTTATAACACATTTATATCTTGAACACAGCTCTTAGAGTTCCTACATTCGTGACAACTAGTACGTGTAGTCCAATCGTCGACCGAATGTAATTTAAGTTAAGTGAGCACTTACTTCTATACTTATATTCTACGTATAGCTCTTAGAATCCCTACATTCGTAGCAACTAGTACGTATAGTCCAATCGCCGACCGAATGTAATATAAGTTAAGAGAGCACTTACTTCTATACTTATATTCTACGTATAGCTCTTAGAATCCCTACATTCGTAGCAACTAGTACGTATAGTCCAATCGCCGACCGAATGTAATTTAAGTTAAGTGAGCACTTATTACTATACTTATATTCTACGTATAGCTCTTAGAATTCCTACATTCGTGACAACTAGTACGTATAGTCCAATCGCTGACCGAATGTAATTTAAGTTAAGAGAGCACTTATTACTATACTCGTGTTCTAAGACATAAATGTGCAGTAGTGATGTAACAGGCCTATAATATGATGATAGTCACAGAACCTTATGTTTTGAGAGACCAATGGATAGATGAGTGTAAAAAGATGAACAATTTCAATTTAACTGATAGAGAGACAACCAATTTAGACAGACATACCGGGTGAAGGAATGATTCAATATACCTACATATATTGTATACGCATAAACGCACAGTGATTCTTTGGATAGTAGTTGAAAAAGATCGTGATGTTGACTGGCGTGGACGTTGTGCATGAGTCTTCTCCTGAAAGATACTGTCGTGGACCATGTGTATCTCCGGAATAGACACTGGCGACGAGTCGATGCTCTGTGGCCCTTATATAATGTGATTTTGGTTGATCCCTTCTTCTTGTGCATCGATTAAAGTATTGATATATTTTTATTATTTCGTGTGGTGCGACAAAGGTACAGCTGGTAATTTATAGTTTTGTTTTGACCGAACGTCTTGATTGGAGAATTATCGAAGGGGACTTGAAGTTATAATATATACAGGGTGTTCCAAATTTCATGTGACAGCAGATTTCAGCATGATATATTTAAATTAGGGGAAAATGACCCATGTGAAAACTGTTTGAATCATATAATCTAAATTAATTTGATATTAAATATTTTTTTTATTAATTAGGATGGGGAGGTTTGAGGGTCAACTTTTAAAATTCAAATGGGACCCTATATTTTTGAAATATGATTCGTGCACAGTTTAATTTTTAATGAATTTTGACGGTTCATTTACATTTATGTGATAATAATTGAAGGAGCTATCGACATCTGAATATTGGTGTTAATTTATAAAATGTCAACAGTGAATAATACTAAAAGTGCTTCCGTTGTACGACCTTAATAATCCGGGTATCAAATTATCAATTTACTACAATATACAGTAGTCAGTTCAAAGTACTACAGTTTACCGTTTGATACTCAGATCATAATATCATATCACAGATATAAAATCGTTCAATTTCAACAAGTCCGCCCTCAGCTGATTCCATCCGTCTACGTTTAGTGATTGTATTTCTATTCATTATGTAACTGTAAATAAATTTAAATAAAAAAATAATAATAATAATAATAATAATATTATTTATTAATACATTTTAGTTTTAGTCTATATTCAAAGATTATAATTCTCTGTGCAGTGAATTTAAAGAAATGTCTTATAATATATTTAATAATTATTCATAAAAAATTTAAAAAAAAAAAAAATTTAACCTGATCTAAACCTTTCACGTTTAGATTCTGCTATCGTAATAAAATCTAACCTATTATCGAAACATTGTTCTCGATAGCGAAAATTTGTAACATATAAATCACTATATTTTCGACATATTATATCCATTTTTTTTTCTCTTAATAAAACTTATTTTATATTTAACTCTTTTATATAAGACAAATTTGGTTTAGAATTTGTTCTACTTAAATAAATAGTGAATTTGAGGTTTCTAATTTGTTTTTTAAGATCTTTATATTCGTATCTCTCTTTAATTTTATTTTCATCAATAATCTTCGCTAATGCTGCAATCTGCTCTTCATAATATTGAATTTGTTCACAACAATAATCATATGAATGCGAAAAATTCATTATCTGTAAGTTGAGCTAACGACATTAGTATGAAATGTATAATTTATAAATCTAATAAAAGTCGAGTCATAATAATTATAAGCGATACAATATTATTTTTCCTTTATATTATATTATATTAAATTTAACTCATATTATTTGACAAGTTTTCACAACACAGTTAAAATATTAATAAAAAATATTGAAGATATAGATATGTACAAGCATATACGTTTGAAAAAAAAAAATAAAAAAAATACTATATGCTTGTATTATCTATAAGTTCAACATTATTTACATCTTTTACATCATAGAATTCAATGTTTATAATATAATCTCATGGTTTACATAAACATAATACGTTTTAATAGTTCTCAATACATTTTCTTTTTACAAAATATAATACATTCTTAGTTATTTATACAACATATTTGTAATAATTAAAATATAATATCTAATAAGAATTATATTAACAATTTTCTTGCATGTATAAAGCGATAATAATTATAATAATAATAATAACCAATTATAATGATAGTTGTATATAATAACATTAAAAGCCTTTACATATAATAGGGATACATGAACATGGTTTTGATTAAGAAAAAAATAAAAATAAAATTTATTATTTTTATTATTTTTTTCTTAATCAAAATAATCGTTACGATTTTAATATTTACTTTTATCTTTCAACATCATTTTTAAAATATATATTAAATAACAATATAATTAATGTTTTACAGTGTATACATTTAAAATAATTTTAATAGTTATACATTTATAGTATATAAATATAAAATGAGAAATTATCTATCAAACATCTTAGACAATTGTTTTATTGTTAGTTTTTTATTTATGAGATATATTTCTCATTCTATCTAAAACAAAAAATTCTGAATATGTTACGGGTACAGGTACGGAGTGGGTGGGGTACATGTCTTCGAATGTCATATTGTGTTTGAAGGTCATGTTTTCGAATGACGAGTGTTAGAAAAGTTATTTGTTCGAATAGTAATGTAATCGAAAAATTATTTGTTCGAAAAATATATGTTCGAAAAGTTGTATGTACGAAAATTATTTATTTAAATTAAAAAGCTATCGAATATTATAAAAATTAATAAACATATTATTAAAAAAAAAATATTTGGAAAAATACACCCATGCAGTTATAAATCAATAATTAAAAACTTAAATTATATGCAATTGCATTTAAAAACTCCAATTTACAATATTTAGGATTGTCGATTATTCGCTGTTGAATTGATTGCAATCTCATATTGCGGTCCACACCATATTTCTTTTCTTTATTTGATGACTGGGGGCCTATTCTCAAATCGATCGAAAAACGTTTTCGACTGGAAATCGATCGAAAAACATTCATGTTTCGATCAATGGACAAAACCGTATTCTCAAACAGTATTCGATTATGTTTTCGATCACCCTTTTCGACATTCTACATCGACTGGTATTTAGTGATCGAATCTCAGATTCGACGATAGAATTGATAGCATAGGTAGTAGGTAGTTTATTGTTTTTATTGAATTAATATTGGATAGGTATGTACTTAGTTGATTATGGTTAATTAATTTGAACTTAAGTTACTTATATATAATAAGTTATAGAAGTTATATATAATTTGAAATAAATGGCAGACGAGTTGGAAATCTTATACAATTATCAAAACATTGTAAACGATTTAGATATAAATATATTTAACGAAGATAGGCGGTTCATGGCGCAGGAAGATCCGTTTACTAGTAAACATTTTTTATTTCTCATTATTTAACATCACATTATGTAAATCTCATTATTTACAGGTATTACTAATATGCTTTTATTTAATTATTATCTAGTTCTCTCGGACAGAAAGTTCTTAGGAACTTACCGGCTATCTAAATCATTGGTAAAAGAAATATGTCAAACTCTGAGTCCACATATGATGGCACCTAAAACAAATGCTGGTCTTAGTATTGATAGAAAGTTAAGTATTGGTAATTGAATCAGTCATTTAAATATCGATTGAATCACCGTTTCTATACAGAAATAACTATCAAATCTTGATAATTATTAATACCTATGTAGATACACCACAATTAACAAAAAATATTTTTAAGACATACCTATTAGGATGTGAAAAATCGTTTATATTGTAGTTTGGATCACTACTTACTATTTAGTATTTATTTGCACTACAGTATTTAGTTACCTATAAATATGTATTGAGTACCTACTTACCATTTACCTAATAAAAATTTTAAATGGCTAATGTAATATTATTACTAATTAAGCATGAACACCTAATTTAATATTTATTCTCGCTTATTTATTGTGTAATTGAACATAGAATTTAAATAAAGATTTGAATAAATTGTGTACCAATATTTCTTGAAGTTATTTTTACACTCCTTACTATAACACTAGTCAAATTATATGTTTACATTTATTTAATAAAAAACCTACCTATTGTCAAATAATAAAAAACTTATGTTATTTTATTTTCCTTTGTAATTTAAAATGATCTACAGGTATTGACAGCACTTCGCTTTTTTGCTAGTGGTAGCTATCAACAGGACATAGGTGAACACAGAGGATCTGCACTCAGTCAGGCCTCAGTTAGCAGATGTATCACTGAAGTTGCAAACGCTTTAAACCTACCACAAATAATGAATCAGTACATTAGATTTCCATCAACCATTAATGAACTTAATTCTATTCGTTTAGGGTAATAATAGTTGCTGATAGTAATTTAATATTAAAATTGTTCTCGCTAGTTTGTATTTTACATATTGCATACTAGGTTCTATGAAAAATACGGAGTACCTGGAGTAGTTGGGGTACTTGATTGTACCCACATCGCTATTGTACCACCAAAACAACATGATATAATTTATCCTGAACACATCTATGTAAATAGAAAAGGATATCATAGTATTAATACACAACTGGTAATATTTTTTTTTAGTTGACAGACACTTTCTTGAAATATTTTGTACCGGTTTAATAAAAATATTTTTGAATAGATTTGTGATTGTGACTTAAAGATCCTTAATGTCTGTGCTAAGTTTCCTGGGAGTGCCCACGACAGTCATATATGGCGTGTAAGCCCAGTGCTTGATGTATTAAAATATATCCATTCTATCAGACAAACTTCTAATTTTTTGTTGGGTAACAAATTTATAAATAATTATTAATATTCAACTAAACAAGTATTAACACCCACCTATATGCAATTTATTTTTAGGCGATTCAGGGTATGGCCTTAGACCTTGGTTATTGACACCCATACATGAACCTGAAGTAGGGGGACCCTAGTCAAATTATAATAACTGGTTATGCAGAACTCGGTCAACAATAGAAAGGTGTAATGGAGTGCTTAAAATGCGTTTTAGGTTTGAATCAAATTAAATTTTCACAATTCGTAGACTTTAAATGAAGTAATTTTCCTGTTTAGATGTCTTCTGAAAGATAGAACACTACACTACCATCCAGAAAAAGCGGCCAAAATTATAAATGCATGTGTAATACTACACAACATTTGCATAACAAACCGTCTTCCAATTATAAATAATGATGAGATAAATTTAGAACATATAGACTTTGGTATGATACCCAATCAAGGATTACCGGACAATGAGTTAGCGAATCGGATAGATCCAGAACTAACAGCAGGGAGGCGTTTTCAAAGAGCAATTATTCAAAATTATTTTACTTAAATTTTAAAAGTACCAACTTACATTATTAAAATAATACATTTAATAACCAACTCTTTATTATTTAAAATTATTCATAAGTAAATATAAAAAAAATTATGCACATGTACTAATATTATAATACATAAGATTAACCTAAAGATAAGTAAATAAAATAAGTAAATTCAGTAACAAAACAACTGTTTTAAGAATAATATGGTTAAATTAATATTATACTGCATTTAAAACATAACTAAAACATAATAAATTATTTAACAAAATAAAATAAGTAAATTCAGTAACAAAACAACTGTTTTAAGAATAATATGGTTAAATTAATATTATACTGCATTTAAAACATAACAAAAACATAATAAATTATTTAACAAAATAAAATAAGTAAATTCAGTAACAAAACAACTGTTTTAAGAATAATATGGTTAAATTAATATTATACTGCATTTAAAACATATATATATATATATATTATATATGTGTGTACACACTGTACAATGTATCTGGGTAACTACATTTTCATTGGCATTACATTTGCACTACAGGAACAGTTTTTGTTGGCAATTTTTTCCAAAGCATTAGTTTGCCTCTCCATAAGTAATAATTTCCTATCATAATAGTTCTTTAACAAATTATTTCTTTCTACACTAATGGATTCCAGGTTGCCAGTTTTATCCAATGATTTTTTTAACGCATCAATTTTTCTGTAATAGGTATATATTATTAACCATAAAATTGTATGTATATTCATACAATTTATTTATTTTAATTTATACAATACATTCATATAGTATTTCCTAACTTAGGTACTGTAATAGAATTTGATAAAACTAAATCACAAATTATATAAAACTATTAATCTAATTATTAAGACAATAAAAAAATAAATATTGATAAAGTAAGTAAAATAGTTTATAACCAAGTGTTACATAATTCGTAGTTAAATTTAAACCAAACCTCAATTATGAAATGTGTTATAAAATAATGTAGAAATTAAGAAATATTAAAATGCACAACCAAGAGAATAACTATAATGTTTTGGCTATATGTGAGAACAAAAAAGTAACAACAATTTAATTTAAAAATACATCATAAATTAAAAATGTCAAAATATTAACAAGAATACAATTTAATGTATCCAAATGTCAATTTTTGAATGAAGTTATAAATAAAAATAAAAATAAATAATGATCCAGTGAGCAAATCTTTATGGAGTTTTGAACATATAACCTACCCTTTTCCCACAAAAGTACATATTATTATTTTAGAATTGCAGGGAACCTAATACATTTTTTGATTTGACAATTTGTCTGCTTATTCACAAATTTAACACTTAAATTTTCTTACCTACTTCCTTATATACTATCATATATAACGAAACGTGATTTGGTTTTGGTTCGACGCTATTTTTCTAACCCGTGTAGTTATAGTTATCTATACACGTTTACGTTCCCCAGCCATTCTATATATATATATATGTATTTATATATTTATTTATTTAATAATGGCTTAATAGGATTATGTAATTATAACTATAATTATTATTAAATCCATCTTAATTTAATTTATATCAAACACTGAATACACACATATATATCCAAAAAATGCAATATCATTAATAAAACCTTAATTTGGTGGTCACAGTTTCAACTTTTTCAACATTTGGCTGGACAGAAGCATCCAAAGCTGTACATGTATAGTTCTCATCATAATTTTCACCATCATGAGCGTTGGACTCGTACACAATATTCAAATCTTCACCCAGACTAGTTTCATTGCCAGTGAATTTAACAGTCTCATTATTTTCTCTACAAAAGTTATATAAAACATTTTTGTCTGTCTAATGCTATAAAAAGGAATGTGAAAATAATTCTTACATAGTCATAATGTCCATGTTGTAACCCTTAAAGACTATTAATGGCTCTTCAGTGTGAGGCTGTCCATTAATTGGTACTTGACCGATGAGGTGAACAATATCTTCTTCCAGTGTATCAAGACCATCTGGAAATTCATTTTCACCACCACCAGTAGTTTTAAATTTTTTCTTCACTTGGACACTCTTAGTTTTTGCGTTACACTTCATGTCAATCCAACACTAAGTAGTTTAAATATATACCTTGTTAGTACTTGTTGAGATCAGTTTCCCTTGTAGGTATAAGGTATAAATGGTGTATATACAATATGTTTGTGGTAAGTAATAAGAAGTTCTAGGTATTCTGGGTAGATATGGATATCTATAAAACTTACTTTTCTCCATTGCTGTGGTGTTTTAACTGCGCCAACTAATGTATGCAAGTGTTTTGCGAGTTCCTGCCACAAAGCTTGGCTGTGTTTTTTAGTGAAATTTTGAGTGAATTTACCTTTATTTAACTCCGGATGCAGTTTAATAAAATCAACTATCGCTTCTTTTTGGGAAGTATTACATGACTTTCCTTTAGACTTCTTAATTATTTGAGACATATTAAAATGGTTTAAAAAACGGTGGTAAAAACTTAAATAATTATAAGTTATAACGTCAATTACAATAACATAATATAATAATATGTAATAAGAATAACTAATAACAATATATAATAAATTGAATATACTAGATAACGTATCAACAATAATATGTCTATTTCATGGAAAACAAAGTAAATCATATGATTATTATTCGATAGTCGAAAAATAATACGACCGAAAAGTTTTTGTTCGATCGTCATTTCAGAATACCTGAAATCGAAAAACCGCCATCGAATGAATAAATCTGATCGAAACTGGACAATCGAACAATTTTATTCGACATCTATATTCGATCGATTTGAGAATAGGCCCCCTGGATATTAACATTTCAATCTGTGATTCTGTTTCCGATTGAATTTTTTGCACAATTGTAATAAATTTGTGAAGCCCTGAATAAAATATATGAAATAAAATATTTATAAAAAAAAAATATAAAAATATGATTTTTACCTGGATGAGGAGATGTAAGTCGATTTAACTTTCTATGCCACGATTCAGCTGTATTAGTTGTTCTCGGAAGTTCTGATCTAACACGATTGGAAACTGACCAAATATCTGGTGGAAATAATGAATGATTTCGTGAAGGCACATTGTTAGGCCTACCCCTTGTTCTCATACCGATTTTTCCAAGTACGTACGTTTCTTCAAAATATGTTATTAAACTTTTTTCTTCATTATTATTATTGAACAAAGGTTTCAAAAGAGACCATGAATTGGTTTTTCAACATTTGATGTTAATGCTTGCTGTTTAATATTTTCTTTAATTTTTTTTGCTTCAATGGCAATTGGTTGAGAGTGCAAATATAATATTTCAATAGGTAATGAATTCACATCAATAAACATGTTACCTATAAAAGATAATAGTTTAAAAATATTTTACAATAAACAATAGAAAAATGTAATTCTTGTTCTATTACTTGTAATAGAAATTAATTTTATGATGTAGAATTAAATGAGTAGAAATATGAGTATTTGGTTGTAATTTTAAACAAAGAAAAGACTTTAAATAATTTTATTAAATCACTTTTTTCATAATCTGGCAATATTTCGGGCGATTCTTTAAGAGGATAGTTAATTTCTTTTACTTCAGTCTCAACATTTTTCACTGGAACTGCACCGTGGACATCAGCAATGTTGTATTCTAATTAAATAGAGTTATCTAATTTATTTTCTAGTTATAAATTAAGTATTATTCAAAAATAATAATAATTTACCTGAGCCATTACATAATTCTTCAGATGGTATCTTAATATTATTAATCCATTTCTGTATCATTTTACATTTTGCTTGATTGATGTACAATTTGACATTGGCGTCACATTTGTTTGTGTTGGTGTTTATATATTTTGTCTCTTTAATTAGAGTACCGGACATAGCAAGATCTAATAACTTTTTGGCTCTATTTGTGGCCGACATAATAAGTATAATTTATTTTATAAATTGTAAAGTAAGTACGAAGTACCTACTAGAGTCAAAAATATAAACTTATTATAAATAATTACAATAACAATATTGAATTAAAAATTGTTATATTTTAATAATACAAACGAATTATAGGTTAACTTAAATTTTACTTTCGTGGTTAACGATAAGTTATAATAAATAATAGTAACTAATAAGTTACGGCAGTTGCGCGGCAAATGATAACAACAAAGTGCTTGTGATACTAGAAGAAAACGCAGTAAAAGCATTTAATGTTTTTGTCCTAGCGGTAAATGCAGTAACTACAGTGTACATACTGCTTTTAATTGTAGGAATTGTTAATTACTGCGTTTTAGTCTAGGAAAGGTATGATTATTGTAAACATACTGTAGTTACGACATTTGCAGATTGAGTTTTAAGCCACTAGATGTCGTATATTCTGTATTAAACCTTAATAAAACTATACTCAGAATAATCTCATTAATAATATAACATCAAAACCTCATTTTTGACATTTTTGTAGTTACTGCTTTTCCCAGTAGGAGGGCAGAATAGTCATAACTAATAAGATATAAGCAATGTTATCTACTATCTATTATCTTTATTACTTTTATTCAACGATATTAATCGGGTACGTCGATAAAATTTAAGTTTAAAAATAAAATAATAATATTTCGTACATACAACTTTTCGAACATATATTTTTCGAACAAATAATTTTTCGATTACATTACTATTCGAACAAATAACTTTTCTAACACTCGTCATTCGAAAACATGACCTTCGAACACATGACATTCGAAGACATGACCCGCTCCCGTACGGAGTCAATACTAGTAGGGAACGGATTACTTTGTAAATCAACACCTTTAGTTAAGAACCGTCCACATAATATACATCGTGTATAATAACAATAATCTTTAAATGCTTGTATATCTTTAAATCGAACAAACTGGTATAAAGGATTGTAAGTTCGAAACGTATTACCACTAGATCTTTCATGATGATAACATGCACTGCTACAATACTTTTGGTCCCCAACATTTTGTATACACAGTTCAACTAATGTATAATTTCCAAGTGGATCGGTTAAAATATTTAATACATGGTCCTTTACCATAAATGGATAATAATCTCCTACTAACATAAAGGTGATTTCAGGGTTAAAACGATAATATTCTAAAGATTCTAGAACATTGTTGATTGTTCTATTTCGTATATTGTTTGAATCGATTGAAGACATATTGTAATTTATAAAAAAATTCAACCCGTAAAAAAATAAATCCATGCTCTAAAAATTAGGATAAATAATTTAGTTCAATAAAAAAGTAATTTAAAAAAAATAAAACAATTTTAAATTAGATTTATAACTATTTTATGATAGCATAACTAATGTTCAACAATAAAATTTCTATTTTAATTGAATATTGTACACGTATTCGTTTGATTCGTTCCATATGTAACGTACGCGTACCTACCTATAATAATTTTTTTTATAAAAATAATATCTATACTAATGATATTATATACTTACATAGTTACATTGTTAATTTGAGAAGTTGAAATATTTGAAAAGAAATTGAACTTTTTTCCGTGTTTGTTTGTGTTGAGCGTTGTGAGACAATATGATATATTATAAGTTTGTGAGACTGTCAATACAATGTATGATGAAAATGTCAACTCCTTGATAATATGAGTACTGTTATATAGACGTTTCGTTGAAGTGGTTATTAGTTTTTTATAATAATATATATAATACACATTATATAATATTCGCTTCGACTAAACGTCTATATTGCAGTGTTATCAATGTTTTTTTTTGTTTTTTTTATTAAACATTAAAGACCGCGACAGCTCTGTTCATTAACGTAACAGTGATTTAAATTATTATTACTTCCTAAAAAATTATATTATCAATGTAAGGTCAATGGTTATTAGTTTTTATAATAATATATATAATACACATTATATAATATCAGCTTCGACGAAATGTCTATATTACATATGACAGTATTATCAAAGACTGCGGTCAGAGCTACCGTTTAATAAAAAAAAAATAATAAAAAAACTATATCCGTATCTTGTTATTGCAGACGCTGTCCACTACTATTACTATTTATATTATTATTATTATTATTATTGGTCTTAATATAATATAAATTGATTAGAAAATACAAATAGCAAGTCACTTTTAGAGGTAGAACTTAAATCCACTCAACGTATTTTAGCTACAAATTATCTACTGTTTAAAGATATATTTAAAAAAAAAAATGTCATTTTCTAATTCGTTTTTAATTTTCCAACATTAGTGATTACGAAGAATCAATGACTGAAAGCGATGTAAGTACAAAATTAATATTAATTTATATTTATATATTTTAAATTTATATTTTTATAATATAATATATTTAATAGTTATATTTGAATAATACTGTATTAAGGTACGGTTTCCCTGCAGCGTCAGACTCGAGAACAGCATGGCTGGGTCAGGCGCGGCGTCTATAGTCTGTTCATTTTAAGAAGCGATTCAGGCGGCCACTAGTAAAACCGGTTTTCAAGCGTAAATCAGGTCGCTTCTTATTTTGAACAGGGTATAGACCATAGATAAAAGATTAATAGATAAGCAACTAGACCAAATATTTGGTTTCGAACTACACTAGCGCTTGGTGTCATTCTCACCAACTAAAAGACCAGCACAGGCGGCAGGGCGCAGGCACAGTCTGTATTTTAGTCAATTATCTTTTATTTATGATGCTTATATTATGTTATATAATATTTTACTTATTTCACATATAAATGTTAATACATGTAACTCCTTCAACTTAACAGTAAAATATAAATTTTGATATCATAATATATATTACTTTTTAAGGAATTATCAAAAACTATGTAAATTGTAATATAGAAATAATAAATAATTTTTTTTTTCTATGATGTATATTTTAAAAAAGTTATAATACTGGGTATTTAAATCATACAAAAATATAAAATGATTTAAAATGATACAAAATAAAACAATATATTAATTAATAAGATAATATTATAAAATAGAAAGTAATAATGGTAAACAGATTTAAAAAAAAAAAAAATAATTAGTGAATACAATATTAAAATAGTTGTATGTATATATATAATTATAATAATTGATATCATAATATATATTACTTTTAGTATAAAATGATTTAAAATGATACAAAATAGAACAATATATTACATAATATAATAAATATTAGACATATTACAAAATAGAAAGAAATAATTGTAAACAGGTTTTTGTAAAAAAAGAACTAATTAGTGAATACAAAATTAAAATAGATGTATGTATGTATGTATACAGTGTGATCACGATTTATGGTAACACTAAATATCTCAGGTGCATGGCCTTGTATTGAACTGGCGTTTTCGGGAGGTGATAGGGAGTACATAAATACATATTTTTGGATAAATTTCAAATTTTTAGCTCACTCGGTATGCACATGCGCAATACAACCTACTTTTTTTTAAATGGCAACCCCAGTTTTTTTCTGCAGGTTCGGGTAGAGTATTTTTTTTTAAACATTTATTGTATAAAAAGTTTTTTTTTATTTTCAAAACTGACCAAGTTAGAGTAAGTCAAAAATTGGATTTATGCATAATATGTGGTTAATGCAATTTTCATTTATAACCACTGGAAATAATAAAATAAGTGCCAAATAAAATATGTTTAATGGGGGACGGAGTGGCCGAGTGGACTAAGGCGTCGGTTACGACGCGCACCGTCACCGGTTCGAACTCAGCTGCGGGCGGCATTTTTCTTCTGGCAGTCTCGGTGTCCGGAGAGAGAGGCCATCATCCACCACCCGGGCATGGCAGATACCTACGTGTGGGTTTGTTTTGGCAGAATTTTTAAGTGGACACCTGAAGGTTTAATGTAGGCAATGAATGCAGCTTTAATTTTTGATTAGTGCCAGGTGAATAACAGCATTCTTCGAAATGGTTTTTGCATATTTGATAAGTTCTTCTAATAGTTTCTGGCGACATATTTTTAAAGACTGGATTTGCAGTTCTTTTGACCCATATTTTGAGATCATTATAATCTTTTGGAAATATATACTTTCTTTTTGCTAAATCTTTACATCCTACAACCCAACACTTATTCGATACCATGTTTAAATTCAAATGTTCAAAATGTTATATTACGTTTTTAAAAAAGCACAAGACACAATATCACAACTCACAACTTCACAAGACGTCAAGTAATGCGCAAAACACAAAACTAAATTGAAATTCTTACTCGAAAAAAAAAAATTAACGAAAAATAATTTATGGAATATGGAATCTGGGGAATCCCCAAAATTCATGGAATAACAATATTGTATATCAGTTGGAAAATCTTTTATCTATGGAATAAAATATTAAAGCGACTACAGCGCGTTTGGTGTCATTCTCAATAACTATTCTTAAGGATTTATTATCATAGGTATAAGTGCGCAGGCCCTGGTCTAGACACGACCTACGTCCAGACCGGTAGTGACGCTAGACGCCGCGTCCAGACGCTGCAGGGAAACCGTACCTTTACACTGGTTCAGTATTATACCAGTGTCTATATTGTATTGAATACGATGTAAATATTTTTACTAGATTTTCAGTAACCAAATTGTATATAATTTCAGAACAATTATAACGAGGTGAGTAGTATAGATTTGTATGTTCACAGTCTTTTTTTTGTGTCACCACGGTAATTTCACAACGTTCAAGGGAGGATGTCCCCCTTGGACACAATAATTTTACCGTGTAAAAATTATGAAGAATTTACACACTTTTTACACGGTAATTTCACACCGTTTCAAGGGAAGATGTAAAAATGTAAAAATGTAAAAATGTAAAAATTATGAAGAGTTTGCACACTCAAAGTCAGTTTTGTCCAAATATTTACCGTGTACACACTAAATGTTTTTTTCTCAACAAACCTTATTACTAAAATGAAATAATAATTACTATATTCGCATTTACATTTATGTTGGTTGCACTGCAATTGATCTAATTAATGAATGTCGGTATTTTTCTAAAAAAATGTATACAATTTTTAGTTATAAGCTGATCATTTTCTCATATTCAGTTACTAATGATCCGCCGTTCACTTAAGTCGTGTCTCATTTTTCTTTATTTTCTTGAAGTTTTATTACATTGTATAAGTTATTTAATTTCTTCAAAAATGAATTTTCAAAAATGTCCAAATGATTTTGAATCATTAGTTTATCGTATACGAAATAATCCGACCATGGTTCATCCAAAATTTTCATCGTTTGCATCAAGATTTAAAACATTCAAATTATTCCCGTTAAATACTTCTCAAAATAAATATACATTGTCCGAATGTGGCTTAAAATATTCAGGAGTGGATGATGTCGTGGAATGCTTTTGTTGTGGTCTTATTCTTCATAACTGGGAAAGGCTGGACGACCCATGGATTGAACATTGCAGATTCAGTCCAAGATGTTTATATGTATTATTAATGAAGGGTAATCAGTATGTTCAAAATGTATTAAGTAAATACTGTAAAACCGAACATATTCACAGTTGTGAATCTGAATCATACGATACTGTTTGTTAATCAAGTTTTTATTATATTATGTTATAGTAAATAAAAATAAAATGTTGATTTTTTTTACTGTTGACTAATCATGTTTTTATTATATGTTACACTAAATAAAATTAAATGCTGATTTTTTTTAAAAAAACAAATTATATGTGTTAATATTTGATTTAATATCTCACGATCGTATAGACTAATGAGGTTAGTGTGTGTAGAAATAATTTAAATGTATGCTAATCATGTTATAGTAAATAAAAATAAATGCTGATTTTTTTTAAAACAACTTATATGTGTTATTATTTGATGTAATATCTCGTGAGCGTGTGGTCTAGTGGATTACTGCGTGTAGTGTTAATTTAAATGTTTTCAGGTATCAGGTAAGTATAATATGTAATTCTCCCCTCCACTGCATGCAGTAGTCGACTATACTGTACGCTCACATTTTTTTTTTTTTTTTTCTATCAGGTTTAGTATATAATTCGCTCACAAAGTAAAAATGCTTTCAGTTCAAAGGATATCTCCCATCGGTTATATTATATCAAATTTAAAAAAATAATTACGTTTATAGTTTGAAAGATTTTTTTTAATATTTTTAAAAAAAAACTTTATATCAATTTTAAAAAAATAATTACGTTTATAGTTTGAAAGGTTTTTTAATTATTTAAAAAAAGAACATTAATTCGTTATGGGTCTACCGCTAATTGTGTCAAAATCGGTATTTGACATACGTCCATTTGGTAAGAAGAGTGTTACAGTCGGCCTATTAATCAGCAAACAAATTTCGATTTGTGTGTTATTAGAGTGCAAGTTAACATATTTTTAAAGACTGGATTTGCAGTTCTTTTGACCCATATTTTGAGATCATTATAATCATTTGGAAATATATACTTTCTTTTTGCTGAATCTTTACATCCTACAACCCAACACTTATTCGATACCATGTTTAAATTCAAATGTTCAAAATGTTATATTACGTTTTTAAAAAAGCACAAGACACAATATCACAACTCACAACTTCACAAGACGTCAAGTAATGCGCAAAACACAAAACTAAATTGAAATTCTTACTCGAAAAAAAAAATTAACGAAAAATAATTTATGGAATATGGAATCTGGGGAATCCCCAAAATTCATGGAATAAAAATATTGTATATCAGTTGGAAAATCTTTTATCTATGGAATAAAATATTAAAGCGACTACAGCGCGTTTGGTGTCATTCTCAATAACTATTCTAAAGGATTTATTATCATAGGTATAAGTGCGCAGGCCCTGATCTAGACGCGACCTACGTCCAGACCGGTAGTGACGCTAGACGCCGCGTCCAGACGCTGCAGGGAAACCGTACCTTTACACTGGTTCAGTATTATACCAGTGTCTATATTGTATTGAATACGATGTATATATTTTTACTAGATTTTCAGTAACCAAATTGTATATAATTTCAGAACAATTATAACGAGGTGAAACCGGGGACCACAAAAAAACAAAATAAAACAAAAAGAGATGTGAAATTGAAAAAAAATATGTGCAAAACAAAAGTTAAAAATGTATGTAAAAAAAATTAAAAAATTAAAAATGTACAGTATAATAAAAAAAATTAAATAAAATTACAATTTTTATTATTATTATTAATATAATTATTTTTTTTAGAATATTTCATATCTGGATAGAATTGCTCCTTTAATTAAAGATGTGAAAGTAGATAATGAACTTATAAATTCGATGATGGTGAAACAAAGTGATGAAATAGTAAACATAAAATTGCCATTTGATAACGAAGTATGTAGTGATTACTGGACAATAAATCACTATAAAATAAAAAATATTCAAAATCTTATTGCTACAGACAGGTAATATATATTATATAAATATATGATTCTTAGAATTTACATGAATACAACTTACAATGACTAATTCCTAAAAAAAAAAAAATAATTTAAGAAATTCATTGGTTGATGTATGTAATAGTTAAAAGGTTCTTATAATATATTAATGTGTCTATATGTATATATATTTGTAATGTAAAATACTTATCATTTTAATGATGTTATAGATGGAAAGAAGCTGAGTGCAGTGTAAAAGTATCGATAACTTATTTAGCAAAGGATCAAGGGCTCGCAAACGATTTATCCAACATCATACAAACAATATTTACACGGTTCATGTCTGATCCAAACAAGAAAATAGGATGTATTAAAAAATCAAAATCATAATAAATCTGTTTGTAATGGTTGTTGAAAATTAAAATAAAAAACCAATATATTAACTTATCGTACATTTATTTTTAAAAGTGATACAAAAGTTGTGTATATGATTTAGTGTCATGATGTGTAAAAATAAATTACAGGTTAATAGCTGATGTACCTAATTCTAACTCTTGTAATATCATATTTGATAATGAGTTATAATGATATTGTAATAATTCATACATAAAAGAAATATCATTAGTTTCTATATTAGTATAACTTAAGTTATAATTCTGAATATATGAGTTTGTAAATTCATTCCGTCGACAAGAAGAGGGTAACCCGTTAATATCTGCCATAATTAATGCATATGCTGTGTCAAAAGTCTTCTGGTAACATGGTAATTTTTTCTGCTTCTCGATTATATAGAGATCGATACAAGCTCCAAGCTGATTCAGCCTTTGCAAATCGACATGTGATAAAGTTATATAATTTTCATTAGAATATTATATGATTTAAGACTGTTTCACATTAACGGAATAGCTTAAGTTATCAGTTATTCTTACACGTTTACATCGGTTTTGTAGATTATCAATAATTGCTTTATAATTATTTTCACACATTAATGATTGCCATTGGTCTAGATCGAGGCTTAAACTCTTTTTAGTAATTATACATTTTAATATTACAACAATCGAAATCTTTTTGTTAACTAACAAACCTACTGTTACACTTTTCTTTCCATATTGACGAATTTCAAATTCTGACCTTAAGACAATCGGTGAAATCATATTGTAGCGAGCTTATAATACTTACCGATATATTTTTGTTCGTTCTGGCGATTATTGTTTTAAAAAATTATACTATGATTATCAGAGTGTTAATTGTATACTGATTATATTTTATTCATACAACAACGTTTTATACTAAAAAAGTTAAATACAATTTCAAAAAAGTAAATACGTGACCTAATTGATAAGTGTGGAGGGAGGGAGCTTATTATTAATTATATATCTCGTATTATTCCTGCAAATTAAATTAATCAAACATCTGTTACCTAGATTTGAACCTTATATATTGAATTAAAAACTTCACGTCTTATCCATTAGGTCACGTATTTACAAGATATAGAATGGAATAATAACACATTTAAACTGTTTTAATAAAATACAAAATTTTATTTTAATATCGTTCATACGTTTAAGCAGTTGAGCGAGTGACATATTCAGTTTCACAATTACATTAAGTTCTTCCATATTTGGTTATTATGTTTTCTACAAAGTGGTTACCTTTCGATAATAATACATAAATACATTTGGAATTATGTCTCGAGTATTCGATCCATGGAATGTCATCTTTCTTCCAGTCATGTAATACAAGTCCGCAAGAGAAGCATTCCACAATATCTTGAACCCCTGTATATATAAAGCCGCATTCAGACAATACATATTTGTTTTGAGGTATAGTTGACGGAAATATATTATATGTTTTTAATCTTGATGTGAATGTAACATATTGCGGATATGTTGGATATGGTTGGTTTCGTATTAAAGAAACTAATGAAGAATAATTGCTGGTGGTTTTTTGAAAGTTCATGTTTTTTTTATTTTAAAGAAAAAAACATTAAATTGGAAATTTCTACTTAAAAAATAAATGTATAAGTGAAACAAGACAATAAAATAAAAAGCATAACTTGGTTTAACAACGGATTATTCGTTACTGAAATGTATAGCTAACTTAATTTTAGTACGAGTGACTATAAAAAGTTCAGTGTTGCCAACGCTTATGAGTAATACATTGATGGTAAAAACATATTTATTTTGTTTGTGTAACAAAATGATATAGACACAGTTATGTGTTGTGTACTTGTGTTGTACACAACACATAACTTTTACTTGTGTACAATTTGTGTTACACGGAGGAGCATGTAGAAATGCCCCGCTTGAAATGATGAAATCTCCCTGTAAAAAAGGTGCTCAGAAGGAACATTAGGGTTTTTGAGATTATGTGTTACACGGTGGAGCATGTAGAAATGCCCGCTTGAAATGAAGAAATCTCCCTGTAAAAAAGGTGCTCAGAAGGAACAAATATATACTACTAACAGTGTTGTAATTTTTAAAGTAAACAACCGACCACATTTTGAAGCTATTAAAAACAAACATGTTAATATTGCAGATATATATACTTATACGTTATACAAGCTTTCCCACCCGACGTTGTCCAGACCAAAAATTTGTGTTTTTAATAAATGTTTATAAAAAAAATGTATGCCATATTTCTTCTATTATTTATAATAACAATTCAGAGAACCACTCAAACACACAAAAAAATTTCATGAAAATCGTTTCAGCCGTTTAGGAGGAATTCATAAAGCTGTATATTTATAAATTTACTGCATGTAAAAATACCAAGGCTTTGCACCCAAATGAATTATTCGGGTTATGGTTTCGGGTGCTTCGACTAAAAATAGAGGTTGTGGTTCTAGGTTTTCTTCATTTTAAAGAATATGGGTTTTGTTTAGCCAGTTTATTTATCCAGGTTATGGGTTATTTAAAATCGAGTAATATATCAATTTTGTTGTGCGTAAAGTGTTAAATTTGATTAAGAAAAGTATAAGGTTATACAAGCAACTTTTCAGTACTAATGTCTAATACAGTAGTGACACACGTAATATAATTTAAATTTAAATTGAATATAATTTAATATTTTATAATATTAAATATTAAATGTTTTACCAACAAAGTATTAAATAGTAATAAAATAAAATGAAATAAGTTATTGAATCAAATATTAAAATTTTGAATAAACTATAAATACATTTATAAATTATTGATTATTCCTTATAATCAAAATACCTATTATAAGTTATACGGGATATACGAAGATTGGTTGCAATAAACTTTAGGTTTTAATAAAATATAAATTATAAAATTTTAAAATACTTTTATTTTACTGTAAAACTTAAAAACAAGTACAATCAACAACTTATGATAGTGATATCTTTATTTATTTAGAATAAATACTATTATTTCTTATAATTAATATATTTTCTAAAATGTGTAGAGTTAGGGACATACGTAGAACACTGGCAATAAACTTCAGCCCAGAAAACGCACTTTCCACAGACACCTGAAAATTGACAATTAAAATAATAGTATAATACTATACTTACATTATAACCCTATGGGCTATCCTGTTATATAAAACAAAAAAGAGAATTTTTAGAAGAATTAGACTTTTCCAAAGTCTGATTCTAATGGACCCTAACCTCACGTTAGGTTAAGTTAGGTTAGGTTAACCCTACATGAGGCAATAACTTCCTGAGAAATTAATTTAAATTTAAAATTTTTCTTTAACCCTGGAGTACAAACCTGAGTAACTGGTACATTGACCAGAAGTTGTGCAAGTTTATATAGTTCTGGTTTTGAGTTTTTTTTCTTTTTCCCAGTAAATCCTAACATCAACAGAATTGTGTAACCTTGAAGTACCATCAAAACTTTCAAGCAACAAACGTATTGGTACAGGCATTAAGCTATCCAAATTTTCAATATCCAAATTATTTTCCAAAGCTACATTAGTTTTATTTCTAATATTTTCTTCAAGGCTGTCATCAGTATCATTAACATGTGTAACATGTGTCTTTGGTTCTTCATCTTGAGAAATAAATGTTTTAATTTTATCAGAAATTTCAGAACTAAGTGCGTTCATTAAATTAAAAACGTCTATCAAATGTGATTTTGCTTGATGTTTAGTGCTTTCATCGAGCAAACATTGGTACCTTGGATCTAAAAACACTCCTGTAACCATAATATTAAATACCTAATTAAACAGTATCTAGCAAGGCTTTGCACTGTAATAGGATTACGTAATATCATGTATTTGATCATAAAAACAACCAGGAATGCGACCACACCCAAAAGTGTTTACGACTAGAATACCACTTTTAGTCGTGAGGTCCGAATCATATCAAGGACGACTGTACACGCGCTACCCGCTTTCAAAGGACGCCGCCACCATATATAAAGGGGACAGCGAGACAGCCTGAGTAGATGTATCCAGAGACGTGAACAACACACGACTCACTTAGCCACCAGCCATCACACGGAGATTATCAATTTTAGAACGAGCTACAATTCACTCAACTGCACATTCAACACGACTGTTCTGCTTATTTTGTCTGGTTTAATAAATTACATTTGATTACTATACTAATTTGACTATTGTTATTTATAAAAGTACAACAGCTTTTGGATCCCTGAAGGGCCTTACGTAACACTGGCGCAGTCGGTAGGATTCCACAAAGGAGGCAACCGTCAAAGGTTACTGTCAACAACGAAGAATTGATCACTCTTCTGCGAAGACAACTCCAGGAGGAACCAACAAAAAACAAATAAGTCACGTCGCAGTACCAACAAATCCATCAGCAGCATCATCAACATCGGCAACATGTCATCGTCAGCCATGAACGCAGCATTATTGTGAGTGAATAGTTATTTAAATTTGTTACATAGACGTATGCAACATAATTAAGACATATTAAGATAAATCTAGGTAATTGATTATAAGTGTAATGGTGTAAACCGTTTAAATTTATTGAGGGCATATTTTATTGATTATTATTGAAGTTTTATTGAATTTATTGAGGGCATATTGATTATTTGAAGTTTTATTATTGAGGGCATGTTTTTATTGAAGTTATTATTGATTATTATTTATTGAGGGCATTTTTATTATTGAAGTATTATTGAAGTTTATTGAATTTATTAGAGGGCATATTATTGAAGTTATTATTGTATTTATAGGGCATTGTTGAATTAATAATGAGTATTATTATGATTATTAACGTATTAAATAGGTCGCTAAAGTAATTTATGGACAGCGAAGATACATCTCCCTTGAACGCAGCTAATTCATTGTATGACACTAGTGTAGTAGAAGAAGCCCAGTTATTACCCCAGAGAGAAGCCCAAGCCCAGTTTGAAGCCCAACAGAAAGCCCAGTTGAATATTATAGTAGATACCTAGTAGGTAGCACAAGTAAAAACCCAAGTCTACAAGTAGAAAAAGGAGTAGTCACACGTAGCCAAGTTACAGATAGTTTTGAACATCAGTCATTAGGTTCTATGTCTAAACCACGCACTAAAAAAATGGCAGTAACCATAAAATTAGAAGACGCTTTCAAATTAATTCCAACATGCACAGGAATAGACGATATCTATCAATTCATAAATGCATGTATATCACATACAAAATGGCAATATATAAAAACGTATTTAACAGATGCATTCGAAGTGACAACCAATGCATCGTCGTTACAACTTCAATTAAATTCGATTAGAATGAATCACAATGAGGATGTAAATGATTATTGCCATAGAGTATAGAAACTATATTATCAGTTATGTACCGTAAGCACATTAAACAAAGAGCCTGCAGAACAAAAGTTATACATGAAACATTAAAGGACCAAACTCTAGCAGTATTTATTAAAGGATTAGTAGAACCGATTAGAACGATAGTAAAATCTCGTAATGCTAAAACTCTGGAGATCGCGAAACAAATCGCTATGTCAGAACAGGTAGAACTAAGATTAGAACAGGAAAATAGGAACCATTATTCGAGTAGTTATTCACAAAACAATAATCAACGTAGATCAAATTATGAAAATAGGAACAACAGGAATGTTAGACCAAATAACTTTGTAAGGCCGAATAATTTTGCACGAAATAATTATCCGCGAGCAAACAACTTCTCTCAACCGATTAATAGACCACCAATAAAATGTTATAATTGCAATGGAAATCATTTTGCATCACAATGTAGAAACAATTCGAGACCTAACTACGCGAGCAACGGCAATAACAACCGTCCACCTAATAGAAATAATTTTACGCAACCGCCGACAAATTATAATACACAAACAGTTACATGTTCATATTGCAATAAAAACGGTCATAATAAGATTCGTGTTATAAAAAGAGAAACGATGAAAGTAGAAATAATTCGGGAAACACCAATGTATCGAACGAGGTACGCGGTACTCGCACGATAAACCAGATTATCGCGGAACAACCGACGCACCAATATTTCACATATTCGCAACACTAGAAAATAATCATATAACATTCAATTCTATCGCCGCAAAAACAAATCAGTTACACTTAATGATAGATACAGGTAGTCAGGTAAACATTCTCAAAATAAATTGCTTACGCGAAGAACTAGAAGTAGACAAAACACAAAAAATAAATCTGCGCGGTATAAATTAATGTCTTACAAAAACCATAGGGGAAATATCAATATTAATTAAATTAAATGGCGAAAACATTAAAACAGAATTTCATATCGTGAGTGCACGATTCCCAATACCCAAGGACGGAATATTAGGAAACGAGTTCTTGTCGAAAAATAACGCAATAGTCGATGTAGCAAACAACAAATTAATTATTCAAACGACCTCGCATACACTAACGAATTTCAAAGAGACCGAAAAAACCAGTTTTATTAAATTAAATCCGCGGACTGAAACTATTGTAGGAATACAGATAGCTGACCCGCTAATAGAAAGCAAGGAAATATTTATTCATAAACAAGAACTAGTAAAAGACGTATGTTACAGTAGTACAGTGTCTATCGTTAATAATGGTAGGGCAATAGTTAGCAATGTTGAATATATCGGAAGAAACAAAAAATATATCTGAAATCGATTTAAATAAAATACTCTTTGATACCGAATACGAAATATATAATGTAGAATCGACAAATGATCACAAGTAACGAATATAACGTTTGAAACAAATAATAATAACTGACCACATGGATGAAATTGAAAAACAATCCATTTATGAGATATGTGAACGATACAATAGTATATTTCATTTGGAAGGAAATGTTCTAACCTTCACCAATGTAGGCACACATTCTATTAAGTTAAAAAAGGATCAACCACCTATCTATCGTAGACCTTATAGATGACCACACGCCCAACAGGAGGAAATAAATTCACAAAATTAAAAAAATGGAAGAAAATGGAATTATCGAGAAATCGAGAAGTCCATGGAATTCCCCACTATTATTAGTACAAAAGAAAATGGATAATTCAGGCAAACAAAAGTTTAGAGTAGTAGTAGACTTTAGGGCACTAAACGAAGCTACTATAAATGAGTTTCACCCTTTACCAAATATTACAGAAATACTAGATCAGCTAGGAAATAGTCAGCTATTCTCCCTCTTAGATTTATCGAGTGGTTTTTACCAAATTTTGATGGAAAAGGACTCACGAGAGTTAACAGCCTTTTCGACTAACCAAGGTCACTGGCATTTCAAACGAATGATATTCTAAATGATAATGATATTCTCCATCGGTAATATTTTCACCGTTTAATGAATTATAAAAAGTCTCTTTGGGAGGTAATTTTGTCTCTTTATATTTATCTAATGAGGCCATATTAATATAATCATAAGGAAAAGCTAATTTTTTTGTTAATAATCTTAATAAATATTTTCTTTCTAATTCACTTAAATTATTAGGAACAGTTTTTTCAAACCATTTTTTTAAAACTTTATAATTACATAAATTCATATTATTAGCTAACTCAGACAAAGAACTAGGTTGGAACCTATAAGAATCTAGGAACCTAAGTTCAATATCGGAATATTGAGAATACCTTATTTTCTTAGAAAATGAAATATATTTTTCCTCGCTTGTGGGAATAAGATCTATATCACCAGTATCCAATCCTAATTCTTTAACTAATAAATGTGAATCATAACCTGAAAAATTATGAAAGAAAACAGGAATAAATCTTGGAACTTGAAAAGTTAAATTACAATAACTATGAGCAGGTCCCCTATATAGACCTGTTAAATGATCATGATCTCGAACTTTATAAAGATTCTCTTTTTTATAATCAACTATATTAGTTTATTTCCTTTTCAAGAAACTTAAAATATGGGTAGGTATGCTAGTTAATTTTTCTTCGTAAATATGACAAAATGTTGCATTTTCATACTCTTTTTTCTGTATCTCGGTTAACTCATTCATTTTCTTAACATTATCTAAATAATTTTCAGCTATATATATAGCATCTTCTCTTAATTTTTTATATAATACTTTTGGAGCATCTTCACCAAAATATTCAAAAGTTTTTCTTTCAAAATCACCATTGGCATATACAATAATATAAACAAAACTTATTGCAATATGTTTCTGAATTTTAACTGTACTACAATTTTTCTTTCTCTCATTTATCTGTTTTATAACACTTTCAAAATCTGCATAAATAACAAAAGGCACTTTCATTTTATGATTAAAATTTTTAAATTCAATAATATTATTAAATTCATTTGGCATTTTCAACCGTGATGTCTTATTTAATGCACAGTAACTTCTATGATTTAACAATTTTTCTTCAGTTTGAAAACTATTTAAACACATTCTGCAAAGATATCTCTTTTTACAATTTTTTGTAATTTGACCCTTAACTAACCCCCATAAATTTTTTATTAAACAATAATGTGTATTATCCCCGTCTTTCAAAAGTAATAAATCAATATGTACTTTTTTTCTCATCTTTCGTTACATATAAGGGGTTTATATTATATTTCTCAACATGATGATAAACATTAATAGATAATCCACCTTCAATCAAATTTGTTTCATTAACACTGTTTAAAAAACTAGGAATCTTACTAACTTCCATTGGATACTCAATATCTATAAACATAATATAATCAAACAAATTTTCATATTCTTTATATTTTGTTACTCTTTGCGGATTCTCAACAACTGGATATAAATGAGCCAAAATTGACCATAAAAAACATTTATCATCATCTTCATTTTTTACATTTATAACTGCTTTTCTGTTAGCTATTTTACTGGAGTTGGTATATAAGAGCTACCCTTTATGGCTACATTGAGAGTGTTAACCGAAACTAACACCCATTGCGATCCTCTTAAACTATCTGAAACACGTGCATGTTCATATAATATTTTAGCTTTCATTTCTTTGTATATTTCATCTAAATTTGACTCTGGAAAAATATCATAATTCGGTGTTTGCAAATATTTAACTGCTTATTCTACAACATCTATAATACCACCTTTTTCATAAGTACAAATAACACATAAATGAGCTTTTGCAGACTTATGTTTAACTAACCATTTCTTAATAAGACCAAAAACAGATTTCTTTGTACTATCTATAAAATCCGGTATATTTTTAATTCCAGTTTTATTACCAATTTCAAATTGAGTATGTCTACTTTTAAAATTTTCTTCGTAAAATGTAGTCTTATAAATAGATTGTTACTTACTGGGTTGCTCTATTATATCTTCATGAAATTTGAATGGAAATCCAGTTAACCAATAATTTTTTTCTTCGTCAGTTAATTTAAAAATAATCTCTAATCTACTGTCATTATATGATGAATGCTTTATTTTTCCAATTAAAATACTATACAATCCTTCCAAATTCTGAGTTGCAATTTTCTTTCCATATTGTATGCAAAATGTATAGTTTCTTAAAAAATGTTCTATCTGTTTATCACTTTTATTTAAATATTTATTATGTGCTTGAAAAAACTTAAACCATTTTGAAACATCTATGTCTTTATTTTTTTCCTCAGTTTTTATAAATCTTATTGAAACCTGATTATCCATTTATTAATATAGTTTATTGACAAAGTTATTTTTTAAATAGAAATTTTTGTTTTTATTTAATAAGTAAATTTTTTAATAACAAAAATTATTCTTGAGGAATATTCTCTTTACTCATATTATCCATCCTTTTTGAGTGAGATTTAGTTAACAAAAGTCTCTTATGGGCTCTTAAATGCATTACTTGACCACATTCACATGCTACCAATTCAGTGTTAACTTTGGTTTTCATACAACTTTTACACCATTTTTGGTTTTCATTAACACTCTTGAATGTTTCACATTTTGAACATAAATATACATCTCCTGCTTTCAAAGACTGTAACAATACCTCATCGTTATTTATCAACTCATAGATACGGATAATTTTATTATTTCGATTCATTTTTATATTTATTTATATACAACATTTTTTTAATTACATTGTTCGGTACTTCGAGGATAATGTGGACTGTATTAGGGTTTAGGTATTTACTAATAATAATAATAATAAGTCTGATTTTCTTTTGCCGTGGTTAACGGACTACTATTCGGAAAAAAAGTAACAAAATTAATAATAATTGGGGCACAAGGAGTGCTGGCCAGCGAAAGGGGTAACTTAACGATAAAATACACAATTACAATAAAATATACAAATAGGTATAAAAACCGTATGGGCGACAGCGAGCTCTTCGCTTGACGGTTGACAGTAGTAACGACGGTGACAGTGGTACGGTGGTATCGGTGGTTAGGTAGACGGTAGTAATCCAGGTGACGGTGGTATCGACGGTGACAGTGGTAATCCAGGTGACGGTGGTATCTGTGGCGGTGGTATCGGTGGTGACAGTGGTATCGGTGGTTCGGACGATCGCACTCGGTACACACTCGGTCGAACGCGGAGCCGTGACTGGCTCGCTGCACACACGTACATATTTCGGTTGATAATACGGACGGCACTAGGCTCGTCCTATCGCTTATCAAACATACCGCCCACCTTGAAGACCCGGTCTTCAATCAGAGAGGGGTAAAGGACACAGTTTCACTGAGGGCCGAGTGTAGATTTTTCCCGTTGACAGCTTTACTTTTGCCACTCGGACGATCCCATCAGCTCCTGGATGAACTTCGACCACTCGGGCTGTGGGCCATGTCAGAGGGGCACTTGGTTCGTTCACTAATACCAGGTCTCCCACTTGGAGGTTGCGATTAGGACGGGTCCATTTTGATCTCTCATGCAGGGATAGTATGTATTCTTTCTGCCACCGGATCCAAAAATGTTGGTGAATTTGTTGAATTAATGACCAGCGTTTACTCTTACTTATCCTGCTAAGTTCATCTGGATCGTGGGGTGCAGGAACGGATACCAATGGGGCCATAGTTAGAAAGTGTCCTGCCGTGAGGGCTTGGAAATCATTCGGGTCGGACGACATGGAACTAAGAGGGCGAGAATTGAGGGTTGACTCGACTCGATGCAGTACGGTATTAAGTTCTTCATACGTCAGGACCCTGTCTTGAATAATTCGTAATAAAAGGGTTTTGGTTGATTTTACGGCAGCCTCCCATAAACCACCCATGTGAGGGGCGGCTGGAGGGTTGAAGTGCCAACGGATTTGATTATCCACCGCATTTTCAACACAGCGAGGTCCTTTCAGTATGGAGTATACTTCTTGTAGATATCGGTTCGTTCCTATGAAATTCGTTCCACAATCGCTATAAATGTCTGTGCATCTCCCTCTTCGTCCAATAAACCGATCAAGTGCAGCTATAAACAATGGAGTCGATAAGTCGGAAACTAGTTCAATGTGAACGGCTGTTGTTACCATACATACAAAAATACAGATGTACGCCTTTGTGACCTTTATTTTTCGAATCATTGCTGCTTTTACCTGGAAGGGTCCAGCAAAATCTACTCCGGTTCTACAAAATGGCTTGATTTGGGAAATACGAAACGACGGTAGGTTTCCCATAATAGGTGGGGCCAGGCGAGGTTTTGCGCGGAAACACGGTATGCATCGATGAATTCTTTGTTTGATGACACTTCGTGATGAAAGGATCCAGTAATTTTGACGTAGTAAATACTGTACCGTCTGTGGTCCTGGATGTCCGTTTTTCCGGTGGGTAGAGTCGATTAGGAGTTCAGTTAATCGCGCAGACTTTGGCAACAATAAGGGATGTTTTTCATTGTAAGGAATTTCGGCATATCCTAAACGACCGCCCACCCTCAGCAAGTGGTCGTCATCCAGAAACGGTGTTAATTTTCTTAAATGCCTCCGAGCTGGTTTTCCCATGGAGAGGTCTTTTTTCTCGTCGGAAAAATATACGTCTTGAGTCCAGCGTACTAATGATCGAAGTGCTCTGTCCGTTTCGTCGGTGGTAGGTGGAGAAGTGCTCGGTAAGAACGGTTTTTTTCTAAGACGATCTCGAAATCTTAACCAATAGACGGTGAGTCTTAACACTTTTGGTAAGTTGTCTGATTGGTAAAGAAGCCGGCAGTCTTCCTCCTTTCCTTGGGACAAAAGCGTAATAGGTTTTTCTTCATTTTCTTCCTCTGAACAACTAATAGGACTCAACGTACTCTCCACAGGCCATTCTCTTTCAGGTTGTCGGAGAAACGGAGGACCACACCACCATATGTCGTGGTTGGCTAAAAGGTCGGGTCTGAGCCCACGGGATGCGCAGTCCGTTGGGTTGTCATTGGTTGGTACGTGGCGCCAATATTCTACATGAGTCTGTTCTTGAATTTTGGATACTCGGTTTGCTACGAATGTTTTCAGTCGTGAGGTCGAACTTCTTATCCAATGTAGCGTTACCATGGAGTCAGACCATGCGGTAACCTTTTCTATATTGATTGCGGACAAGTTATCTTTCGCAAACGCAAGAAGACGAGCTAATAACCAAGCACCACATAACTCTAGTCTCGGAACAGATATCTTCTTAGCCGGTGCTATCTTAGATTTTCCCATCAAGAGATGACACCTTACTTCTGTGCCAGTATCAATTCTTAGGTACACGGCAGCCGCATACGCTACTTCAGAGGCATCACTAAACCCGTGTAACTCGTATGTAGCATTCGGATGGGTAACCATGCGAGGAATTTGCAGGGTAGCTAGAACGGGTAACTCTCGGTGGTATTGGGTCCAAGAGGTCATTGCTTCTTCCGGTATTGTTTCATCCCAATTTACTCCAACCAACCAGAGGTATTTCATTAGTCTTTTTAAATCCGTTGTAACAGGAGTGAGAAGGCCGAGAGGATCATAGATACGCGCGATTTCTGATAGTATTGCTCTTTTGCTGAATTTTACTGGACAGGGTTGATATTGGTAGCTGAGTGAGTCCACTTTCGGGTCCCACTTTAAACCGAGAACTTTTGTACAGCCGGAATCCCGTTCTTCGAAAGTAATTGGCAGTACTTGTCGGTGTTCTAGCGGAATATGGGTTAACAGTTGCTCAGAGTTGCTTGACCATTTTCGCAGTTCGAACTTACCCTTTTTGAATAATGTGATTAGGTTTTGTGTCAATTCGAGCGCTTCGTTTAGAGTACTTGTACCTGTGACTATGTCATCGACATAAAGATCCCGATGAACGATAGCCTTTAATGTTTCATCGTTAGACGCTTTTATAACCCAGTTTATGTAGCGTACGAATCGCAATAAATGGAGAACATTTTTGACCAAAAGTAACTCTATTCATTTCATATTCCTGCACAGGCTCCTCTGGGTTGAATCTATATAACAATCGCTGATAGGGACGATGCTTTTCAGTTACAACTATTTGACAAAACATCTTTTTTATATCTGCCGTAAACACAATGGGATGTAGACGAAACCGCAAAATTATCCCGGGTAGGTCTTGTTGGAGCTTCTTTCCGCAATAGAGGTTATCGTTCAATGACATCCCAGAAGATGTTTTTGCCGATGCATCGAAAACAATTCGCATTTTTGTGGTTGTGCTTTCAGGCCGTATAACTACATGATGTGGAATGTAATAAGTGTTGTGTTCATTTGTAAGGGTTTGATTTAATTTGGTCATATGGGTGGTATCTAGGTAATCCCTCATTTCTTTGTTATACTCCTCACGCAAAACACGATTTTTTGCAAATCGGTTTTCTAAATGATATAAACGGTTCAAGGCTTGATCTTTTGACTGTCCAAGTTGTGGAGGGGTTTTCAGGAACGGTAAATGGACTACGTACCTACCGTCTGGTTGACGCGTTGTGGTTGACTGGTAGATTCGCTCACACTCTAAATCCGCTGGGCAACTTTTTTCGACATTTGGAACTTCTTCCACTTCAAAAAAGCGTTTTAAGGTTTGGTTAACGGATTCTAGTGTTGAACACATTGTGACAATCTTATTTTTCGTAGCGCATGAGGTTCTTCCCATTAATACCCATCCAAAAACTGTAGATAAAGCTGTTGGTTGACCGGTGTTGCCAACTCTTTTATCTCCTAAAATGAGTTGTGGGAACACATCTGCTCCTAGTAGAATGTCGACGGGTAGTGGTTTCTCGTAGTCAGGGTCTGCTAAATTTAACCCAACTGTATGTGGCCAAGGTTCCGTGAAAACGCGTTCTGATGGTATAGGACCGGTTATGCGGGGTAATATTAAAGCGTTAACATTAAATTGGGGATTTTCGAGACCTACTGGCCGTACGTTAATGGTGGTACTTCCTTTTACGACTGGAACCTGGGTACCGGCCAGAGCTTGTACCACAATATCTCGATTTTCTCGCTGAAGTCCCAACAGATGTACACAGCGTTCGGTCACGAAACTGCTTTGGCTAGCACTATCTAATAAAGCTCTTACGTTAACAGAGTACCCATGTGTGGTTTGCACAACCACGATAGCCGTTGCCAAAAGAACTGATGTACGAACACTGTTTGTTGCGGTAGCTGCGAACGTCACGGGCTCTGCAATAACGGTTTTTTCGGTGTTTGAAAGATGTAGCATAGTGTGGTGCTTCCCCCCACAATCTTTACAAGTTTTCGGGTTTTTGCAGTCTACCACTCTATGTGCACTGAAGCATCGGAAACCAGGTGTTCAACTCTTTTATGATTGTATGACGTTCGGTCGGTGTTTTCTCTTTAAACAAAGGACAGTTTATGAGTAAGTGTCCCGGTTGTACTTTGCACACTTGACAGGTAAACGATTGCTTTTCTCCCCACCTTTCATTCTTCGATGTTTGTTGTGCCATGTGTTGTTGACCCGGTTGGTTCGTGAGCAAAGTTGTAGTTTTGTTCTGCTTGAAGGGTTTTTTTTTGATATTGACTTTCAGTGACGGTAGCTGACTTACAATATTTTGTTAGAAAAGTGGTAAACTCTACTACAGTCGGATCTTCCGTAGTATCCACCAACAGTTCCCACTGGGATCGAAGATGTGAATCCAATTTTTTCTGTAAGAGGTGCAAAAGAATCGGATCCCATTGATCAACCGCAAATGATAAGTTTTGGAGGGCTCCAGTAGCTTCAATAATATTGTTTAATAGCTTTCTTATAGAATTCCCGTCGCCGAAGAACGCGTTTGGTGCGTTAAATATTTGTTCCAGATGATGTTCTGCGATCACTCGACGGTTTGAATATCGGGCCGTTAATTGTGACAGGGCTAGTGTATAGTTACTGTCCGTTAACATAAGGTTGCCTATAAGTTTCAAAGGCTCTCCTTCTAAACGTGATTTCAAGTATCCAAATTTCAAGACTGGTGCCATATTGGTGCTATCTACTATTGTATCAAACATGTTCCGAAAACTGGTGTATTCAATCGGATTTCCGTTAAATATAGGAATAGATAGTTTTTCTACAGGGAAATAAGCACTTGTGGTGGAAGTAGGTTTTTGTTCCATAAACGTTTTATTCAGTGATGCTTCGGCGGTGGCTTCAGGCAGATATTCGTCGGCAAATATTTTACTACCTACATACTTGTCCTCAAACTCCGTTCGTAATTTTTCCGTGTCAACCAACTCTCCTACTACTCCTCCTTTACATTGACTTCGGATGATAACCGTCAACTGTGCTTCAAAATCAGAACATAAATTTTCTAATGTTGCGTACATGATTTTGAACTTAGTGTGTGCCATCTTATTGTTAGGTACTTTTCCCACTGCCTCTCCCGCGTCATACACCCTTTGTATTTTACACTGAATACCCGCCAATCTTTCCTTTGCTTCTTCGAGGACGCCCATGGTCCTGTTGGTTTGCGGTTTTTACGTAAATAATTTATGTTAAAAACGTAAGAAATTGCGATTATTATAATGCGCGTAAACCTTTTTACCGCGGTTGGTGGTGCGGATAAACGGTTCCATTAACTGAGGGTCCTGTAAAATAATAGGCAACAGTTTGTTTCCATCTGGTCGATATGCCCCCTAACATGAAAACTAACACATTTGTTGCAGTTCCTTCATGATTAGGCAAAGTAATATTGCCTACATTTTTATTTAAAGACACATCAAATATATTAGAGGGTGTTATTGCCATTTCATCCATTATAAGAACACATTCTCTTTCGTGTGTATCTTGAAACGTTTGAATTTTAATTTCTAAAAATTTAAAAACTTCATCTAGTACACCGCTATCAAATTTTAACATCTGCAATCTTCTTCTTAAAGTTCTTTGAGAAGGAAATAGAATTTTCTGTTTCAACATTTCTTCGTAACCGTTGTTACCACAGCTAAATTTTATCTTTAAAGCTTTGCAAATAGTAGGATTAGACCACTTCATGAATTTAGTAGATTTTCTGGACAAGGCTTCTATTTGGTCATTGTTAAAAATAGATTTCAAAAGCTCAGCACTTTTATTAGTTTCATTTTTTTTTAATTTATCAGATAAAAATCTTAACTGTTTTTTATAGTGATTAATTTTAAATACCATAGACTTGTAAAGATGATCATTGCTAGACAAATTATTATGAATGATAACATCAGACATTGCTTGTACATGTTCTAAATTACAATCTGATGGCTTTGAAGCACCAACGCTGTTTACTTCCATTATGTGATTTAAAGGTTTTGTCATTTGCCTTTTTTTTTGGTGGTTTTCGTTTCTTAACTTCTTTTGTAAAACAAAATAAGGTAGGAACAGCATCGTGTTTAAGACGGCGACTACCATCTTCTCGTGTTTTCTCCCACATATCTGGCTCAAAATGAATCTAAAATGAATTATAAATGGTAGCTATAAGATTTTCAGGTTCTTAAAAGTTTATGATGAAATATATAAGAATAACAAATTGGGGTCAACTGGGGTAAATGTAAATGGTTTTGACAAGGGTTACCTTAATATAAACACTCACTCTTATACAATGTATTCTACACATATTTTTCAATGTAATTCAATGTAATGTAAAAATTTACAAGCAATCATATTTTGGAGTTATATTGAGTATAAAAACATTATCCAGTTCACAATTTTAAATTTACATTTACGCCTCATTGCAATTTAAAAAATACAAATTTTTGGAGCAAATGGAAATAAATATTTCTGAGTTCATTCATTAGAATAGAAAAAAATCTGGGGAAAAAGTAAATGAATCATCAGTATATTAAATGGTTATTATGTGCATTTTTACATTTAAATATATTTACATTTTGGGGCAAATGTAAAAAACAAAATATATACAACAACAAATTGATGGAAAAGAAGCATAATAACAATTATTTAAGGTAAAATTTATGTGTACTTAATTATTTTTCAAATAAAAAGGGTTTTTAAATTATAATATAGGTATTTATGTAGGTTAGGTTGTCAGTATTTTGTGTCAAATATTATATTTTATCTACATACACTTTAATTTAACAAGTCTTTTTAGTTCCATTAGGTATTATTAAATTAATAATAAATATAAAACAAACATTACACTTTTTTCACAACGACTTGGATAAAAATTGTCCCACATATTGTACTCAAGAAATTCTAAATCTATTAACAAACAACATGGATTAATAACTTCAATTATACTTTTATTTTTGAAGATATCAGTTAATATCTGCCGTACATTCTTTAAAAGGAAAACAAAATAATTTAAGACATGTTTTGATAAACAATATCTAGGTAGGTACATAACATCAAATAAAATATTTTTCTGACAACTATCATGAAAGAATAATAAAATATGACTAAATGTACAATGTATTATTTTAATCAGAATATGTTTTTCTCAACAACTTAATATTGTACCTAACATGTTTAGATTAAATCCAGTTGACCCAAAATCAATAAAATATCTATTAATTAAGTAAAATAGGTAGGTAATTTAAAACATAATATTAACTTAAGAGTTTATAACAATGCATCATGCATTTTTTAAACTGAATCAAATAAAAAGTAAATACAATAGAGGATAAATATTTTATACAACACATACTTCACAAATACAAGAGTAATTATTTGGAGCCCAATTATCTCTCTTCATTTTTGATAGCCACAATTTCCTTCTGGCCGGCTCTTTAGGAAAATATTTCATTAGAAACCCTTTCTTATAAGAGTTTGAGCATCCAATAGCAGCACACCCGGGCATTGTTGCAATACTATTAATTAATTAAAAACATTATTGGTACTTTCAAACGTACTAAATAGTTAAAGTATTTGTCCACTCAGACTACTAGGTGTCGAGGTATAAAGTATTGCATTAAAAACATGAATAAAAATAATTATAGGTACTTACATATCTGTAAACGTGTATTATTATTAATATTTGAAACACAATTTTCAGTTTATTAGTTTAATTATAATTTATAATATACAATAATATACTTATTAGTCATTATAATACCAGTTGTTTTATCAAAAAAATATTAGCCTACTAATGGCGGACAACCTCGATAACCAATCAGGGGCGACACGGTCTATGACAACACCCATATTATCAAGTCTCTCTACGGCGGACGCGACAAAAGCGCTGGAGGTGACGGTCGGCGGGCAACCGCGGCACGTCGACGACGAACACTGCATGATGAAGGGGGGAACGGGAACATTTATTGCATAACACTGCGGTCATTTCTGCATTAGCGCGCGATAATCATAACAATATATAAATAAGGTATGTTTATTAATGGTAATATGGGTACAGGTATGTTTATGATATTAATAATATTAATGCAAAAAATGCAGTGACGTTACAAAATGATAAAATTCGGTAGGTTGTACGTAATATTTAATTTCAAGTAATATTCAATATTAGTTTTGGGGGACGGAGTGGCCGAGAGGATGGTTCAAAACCATGGTGTCCAGAGAGAAGTGCCACCATCCCCCATCCGGGCATGGCAGATACCTACTAAAAAATCTACCAAAACTAAGAAACACACGTGTTTAAACCTACAGTACCCTGCCCCACATGCTAAAAATCACCCAATGGCCTGAGTTGCCATATATTAATTTTTAACATTTTTTATTTTTATTTAAATATTTTAATACTGTCTATATAGAGTAGTGATTATAATTTTGTTTGAAATTGTGTTTTAATTTTAATTTGTACTTTTAATATTTTTATTGATGAATTGATAATTTTTTTTACGTCCAATTGTCCCCAAGTTTGAACAGCCATGTCCATTAATTGACCTATATTGTATAGGTACAGTGTACACGTACATATTTTTATAAGTTTAAAATAATAGCGGGCAGTGGCATTAAATATTTAATTAAGATATAATAACCAAAATAATATTGCAGTAAAATGTCTTGAAGTTTTGAACACAAGGTAATTGTTTTTTTTAGGAATTGGTGGATACGTCATTGATGGAAGAAAGGAACCCAAATAATGACGATCTTCTTAATGTGGATATCGGTGAGGTAGAAACTCAGACTGAAGCAGGTAAAACTGTTAGAGAACCGGCTAAGAAAAAATCAAAAAAAATCAACTTAAGTGATGTGGATTTAGAAAATCGTATGGGAGACGCATTTGATATACTAAAAAGCGTTTCAGAACAGCCCTCTAAAGATGATGTACAACTGTATACCGATTTATTGGCAACAAAACTGAGAAGTTTTGACGAAAGAACTCGTGAAATAATAATGAATAACATTGATAATTTGGTCTTCAATGCTAAAATGAATAATTATGAAAATTCTCCTTACCAGCCTAATTCTTATTACGATCAACCCATGTCTACCTTACCACGAATACCACCTATCCAAAGTAATACAATACCATCGTATACAAATATTTCAACACAAGATAAAGTTAATTATCAGCCAGTGCAGATTTCACATAAAACACTTCTCAGACAGCAAGATGTTCAATGTCGAAATCTAACTACAATGCCATCACAATCTCCCTATCAAAATGTACCAACTCCTTATCAAAATGTATCATCTCCAGAATCAAACTCAAATAGTTCGGCTCTACATTACTTTAAGTCTACCTCACCACAATTACCACATATTCAAAATAGTACAGTACAGTCTTATACAGATATTTCAACACAAGAAAGATTTAATTATCAGCCAAAACATATTTCACCTATGTACCTCGAACAGCAAGAAGTTGAATGCCAAAATATCTCTACAATGCCAACACAATCTCCCTATCAAAATGTATCATCTCCAGAATCAAACTCAAATATTTCAGCTCTACATCCTACAGATTTATCTGGCAATTATTACCATTAGCTCATTCATTAATTAATTTTAAGTAATATTATATATTATGTATATTATAATATGTACCTATTACTCCATGCTTAAGCTATTTAATTGTAATTCGATTTCAATCAAAAGAAATTGATTTAAATTTGTATTCAGGTCGAATATTTATGTATTTTTTGTTATTAAGTTTTAATTAAGTAAAGTTTTTTTTTTCATTGGTATTAACTATTAATTAATATATCAAGTATCTATTCAATCTACGCTAAAGTGCTTACATTTTATAATCAAAATATATTATATATATTATGTATACAGGGTTAGAAGTTGTAACTTGTAAGAACACTTAAATACTAAAAAAAAAGTAATTCATATTAAATGTTTATAGTATTCACTATCAAAGATAGTATGCAAAGGAAAACAAATATATATATTTGAACATATATGTTCATTTATTTATATTTCTTGTTGTATATTTTCAGCTGTAGAAATTAATATTATGCTATGTACTATGCTCATTGAGTTCAATTATATTCTACTTTATACACCTATAAATTATAACTAAAATCTAATTATTAATTTAGTAGTGATACTGATACATAAACATAAGTTCTAGATTATATTTAATGTTCATTCTTGAAATTTGTTGTTAAACAAAAGGAATAAATGTTTTAAAAATAAAAAATGTTTCTAATCTAGCAATTAAAAAGGTATACAGCTAACAGCTTTATAAGAATGTGTCAAAGATCTAATCCACCATTGTAAATATAATGTTAAGGATTAGTTAGTATTGAAATGTAAACTAATAATTAGATAAATACTGAAATATATATGTACGTAAAATAATATTTTAAATTTTGTAAAGATTTTTGTATACTTAGATATTTTTTTATTTACATAATATAATTGATATTTTAATTAACATTGGATATACGTCTTTATAGTCTTATAAATTAATATTGTATCTAATACATTCTCTACTTGTTTTACCAGTAAATATATACATTGAAGATATAAGCAGAGTTGTACCTTAGTTAAGAACCTAAATTATACAAAAATTTTTTGGTAATTTGTAACTACTAAAAATAATGGTTTAGAAATATTGCATTATAACTCTTAACTGGAATGGCTTCCTACACCACACAGCCGAAATCTGGCAGTATCGTAAAAATCGTATTATGTAAATCGTATTTTTTTTCTGGAGCCCAAGTCCCCCGAGTGCCCCCTCCGAAATATACAAATTTTGAATCTGCGTTAGTTACACTATCGATTAAAAATAGTTTGCAAAACATAATTTTCCGTGTTCGTTTCGAAAAAGCCGTTCTAAGTACGCCGCACAGTCGAAATCCGGCAACATCGTAAAAATCATATAGTTGCAATCTTATTATTTTTCTGGAGCCCAAGTCCCTCAAGTGCCCCCTCCAAAATATACAAGTTTTGAATCTGCGTTATTTACCCTATCGATTAAAAATAGTTTGCAAAACATAATTTTCCGTGTTCGTTTCGAAAAAGCCTTCCAAAATACACCAAGCGGTGGCTTTGCTCGGAAATTGAAAAAATTGAACCATATGTGTACATTTTTATATTTCTGGAGCCCAAGCCCTTCAAGTGCCCCCTCCAAAATATACAAATTTTGAATCTGCGTTAGTTACACTATCGATTAAAAATAGTTTGCAAAACATAATTTTCCGTGTTCGTTTCGAAAAAGCCGTTCTAAGTACGCCGCACAGTCGAAATCCGGCAACATCGTAAAAATCATATAGTTGCAATCTTATTATTTTTCTGGAGCCCAAGTCCCTCAAGTGCCCCCTCCAAAATATACAAATTTTGAATCTGCGTTAGTTAGCCTATCGATTAAAAATAATTTGCAAAACATAATTTTCCGTGTTCGATTCGAAAAAGCCCTTTAAAGTAAACCGCGTAGTCGAAATCTGGTAGTATAGTAAACATCGCATAGTTTATATCCTATTATATTTCTGGAGCCCAAGTCCCTCGAGTGCCCCCTCCAAAATATACAAATTTTGTAAAATTAAAAAAAATTTATATTATCCGACAATAACCCACCAACGGTCTATAATATTATTCAAAACTAATTTAACAGAGCTTAAACATATAATCATAGAATGAATAACAATTAATTAGATTATGTATATTTATGTGTTAAAGACCTCGCATAATGATCATAAATTAATAATTATTAAACTTTTACAAATAGCTTTTAAAAAATAACATTTAGTATTCTTGGAATAACTTGATAACAAATATTTTTGAATACAATTGTATGTCCCAATACTGCCAGTAGACATAAAAAAGGGGATATATCAATATTAATATAATATATATTATATATTAATATAATAATATTTGATATATTAATATTATATAAATTAGTTAATTTTTTAAATATTTTATTATTGAAACTAACCGACTGACACAATCCCGGACACAATTGATTTAAAAGCCTCTGTGTAAATGGTCGTGGACGGTGTGGAAGTGTGAGCACCACGTCCATGGACCTCACCGCCACGACCACACATTAGCCCACCACGACCACGCATTACCGCGCCACGACCTCGTACCAGCCCGACTTGGCCACGGTCAGGCGCATGCAGCATGGGTGAGGGCCGGTGATGTGCTCTGCCTCTCGGCCATTTTCCTGGCACCGTAGTTGTCATTGGCCTTCAACAGTTTATAAATTAGTGAAAATTAATACCAAACATCATAATATAAGAAAAAATCATATAATTAACTTACAGATTCGGATCACAAATTATAATTTCGAAGTTTTGTGCATTGTCAGCCAGCTTGGACCTAACTAATGCACAAAACCCTGAATAATAGTCTATTTCTAACTTTGGAAATACCCAAATCGACGATCGTAACCCCAATGACAATTTGTCGTCGATTTGGGTTTCCAAAGTTCTGAAGTAGTGGTCATCATCATCACCCTTCAACCAAATTACAAAATGTATACTATGAGCAAAAATTGAAACTACGTGGCCCTTTTCAAATGAGGCCCAAACTCCGTTGGATATTAATCTGTAATAATAAATTGAAACAAACATTTTAGTATTTAGTTACATGCAGATCGGTATAGATGGAATTTAAGAATTAAAATTAAAAATAACATAAAAATATTTTAATTTAAATTACTCGTCTTTCAAGTTGAAGTGGGTGAGGCATCTATCCAACGTTGAGTTCTCACTGGCACTAACAAGATCGACGGGTAATATTAATACTTCCCTCGGATCTGCAGCATTATTACTGGCGGCGCAAAACACGCGACTCTCCACCCGCAGAGGTGCCAATCTGTGCGGTAGTATTTGAGGCTATATAAAATTACATTTACAATGAAATAATAATGAATTAATTTCCCAACAAATTATTTACGATGTATACAAAATAAAAAAAATAATAAAAAAATCTTACGTATTCGGGATCACACACGGTAATGGTTGTACCTTGGCCGAATGTGGTTGAAAGTAGACCACGCACCTGATACCAATCCAGCCGATCCAAATTACACCCAAGCTTTGGAATGATCAATCGATTTATTTCTATATTAATCGATCCCGCAACTGGTTCAACGAATCGGCCAGTGATTGGAGAGTCGGTTTGTGGTGGAATAACACCTTCGTGACAAGGTAAAAAACATAAAGTTTACCTCCCTCGTCACTCGGATGTAATTCCGCCACACCACCGACCCGGACCTTTTGGTCCATCAGGACTCCGAGGGCTCCGTACTTAATCCTGCAATTTAAATAGAATTAAATAATTTATTTTCATTAAAATCAAAAACGAAGATAATTGAAAATTTCACAAAACGCATTTATTATACAACTATGCGATTTTCTCAGTTTTTATTTATTAATTTAAATAATACTATATATGTTATACAAATTTTGCGCAATTTATTTCAATTAAAAACTATAATTGCTTGAGTATGTTCGTATTTTCCATCGGTAATATTTTCACTGTTTAATGAATTATAAAAAGACTCTTTGGGAGGTAATTTTGTCTCTTTATATTTATCTAATGAGGTCATATAATCATATGGAAAAGCTAATTTTTTTGTTAATAATCTTAATAAATATTTTCTTTCTAATTCACTTAAATTATTAGGAACAGTTTTTTCAAACCATTTTTTTAAAACTTTAAAATTACATAAATTCATATTATTAGCTAACTCAGACAAAGAACCAGGTTGAAATCTATAAAAATCTAGAAACCGAAGCTCAATATCAGAACATTGAGAATATTGCTTGCCTTTTGCAAGCTTGTCTTGCGAATATCTTATTCTCTTAGAAAATGAAATATATTTTTCCTCGCTTATGGGAAGAAGATCTATATCACCGGTATCCAATCCTAATTCTTTAACTAATAAATGTGAATCATAACCTGAAAAATTATGAAAGAAAACAGGAATTAATCTTGGAACTTGAAAAGTTAAATTACAATAATTATGGGCAGGTCCCCTATATAGACCTGTTAAATGATCATGATCTCGAACTTTATAAAGATTCTCTTTTTTATAATCAACTATATTAGTATATTTCCATTTCAAGAAACTTAAAATATGGGTAGGTATGCTAGTTAATTTTTCTTCACAAATATGACAAATTGTTGCATTTTCATACTCTTTTTTCTGTATCTCGGTTAACTCATTCATTTTCTTAACATTATCTAAATAATTTTCAGCTATATATATAACATCTTCTCTTAATTTTTTATATAATACTTTTGGAGCATCTTCACCAAAATATTCAAAAGTATTTCTTTCAAAATCGTAATTGGCATATACAATAATATAAACAAAACTTATTGCAATATGTTTCTGAATTTTAACTGTACTACAATTTTTCTTTCTCTCATTTATCTGTTTTATAACACTTTCAAAATCTGCATCAATAACAAAAGACACTTTCATTTTATGATTAAAATTTTAAAATTCAATAAGATTATTAATTTCATTCGGCATTTTCAACCGTGATGTCTTATTTAATGCACAGTAACTCCTATGATTTAAC